ATAATATAATATAATATAATATAATATAATATAATATAATATACACAATACAATATGTGTGTGTAGTAACACCTGCTAGATTTCAAAAATTAAAACAAATATGTGCTTACCAAACAAGACATGGAACTGTTTTAGTTCATGGAAAATATCATGCTAATCCATTTACTCTGAAATAGAACATTAAGATATTAAATATTACAGTACATTCAACATCCAGGTATCAACCAAAGATGTCTCTTTTCCTCTTCGACTATAAACCTCCACAGAAACCCTCTAACATATAGTGCTCTGGATAAAATTAATGGTCCCTAGCACAATTCATCAAAAATATTTGAAATCATATTCAAGCATTATTATATATCAGAAAACTTTTCAGGATATTGACATAAACGAAGAATATTGGGTTTTGATTTCTTTACATGATCTGTATTAAGATTGATCTATCATATTTCTGAAATCAGTCCATGTGACTTAACCACAATTGGTACCCATAATTTATAATGTTTACAAAACTTAACCATAGCACCACTTGTCTGAACTAAATTGGGAAAGGTTTCTTTCTTCTGCTACTTTTGAATATGAGACAGAAACTGGAAATAAGTACATTTTGGGAGAGGGAAATTAACACCACCAAGAGAGCTGGTCACCACCCCTTCTAATTCTAGTGCTGATAATGATCTGGTATTACATTTCTTTTTATTAAAATGTAACGCTCTGTCAACCTTAACAAATGAAGTATAATTGGTTGTGATTTGACATACTGAATGAATTACTCTATATTCATGATTTCACATCAAATTAACATGTCATGCAAACATATTATTTGAGTAACCCTTTTTTTAAAAAAATGTATTATTTCTTTCTAGACACATATTTTATAAAACATGTCCAGAAATGAATTCTAGGAAAATCATTTTGTATTTTTTTTTACATCAGTTGACTTATTTTCATCACAAACAACACAGTAATATTCTTCTCAAAGAGACCTGCAGTTCTTTTAATGGGTTTCCCTTTAAACAACCATAAGAGTATGCTAAGACTTTAAAATTATGAAAGATTTTAAACTCAGTTTGCACACATATGCCAAAGTCATCATCTCAAATGCCAAAGATTTTGTGTAAGTTATTGTTTTAATATTAGCTAAGATGGGAGTAAATGAATACTGGTAGTTGGAAACCATCAATGTATAAAAAATTGAGAGGGTATTAGAAAGCATGGTTTTTAATCTCGACATGCTTTTTGACTACAACTTATCCATATTGTCCCCTTTGTAAGATCACAGATTCTTCCATTAAAAAAGAGTTGTGTACATATGCCTTGAGAGCCAGCTTGGTGAAATGGTTAAGGCATCAGGCTAGAAATCAGGAGATCTGCCTTAGGTGACTTTGGGCTATCATTTTCACTCAAACCTAGGAAAAAGGCAATGGTAAACTACTTCCAAAAAATCTTGCAAACAAAACTGCAGGGACTAGTCTGAGAATCAGACATGACTGAACAGAAGAAATGAAATATTTATGCCTTAAAGATGAAAATGTTAATTTTACAAGTTTTTCTCAGTCTGTACTACATCATCCAACTTAGCTAACAAAAGCAATAGTCAGGAATTATAGCCATCAAAAGATTCTAACTTTAACAAACACTGACAGATACCCTCCCTCCAAATAATAATAATACTTTATTTGTGGTCACAGACCAAAACACAAGTACAACAAAAGAAGACCATGGGAAAATTAATCATAAACAACTGACCATCCCCAGAAATAAAAATTCATTACAAATACAAACTACAAACAGAAAATAGGGATGAAGGAATGCAGCAGAAGTAAGCTAGATACTTAAGATCAATATTCAAATCAGTGGAAACTGATTAGGAAGATGCAGGATTCCATAACACAAAGATAAACTATCAGTCCTGCTTAAACGTTTTAACTATATGTTGGGCTAAATGCAGCCAGGTGAATTACTGTATGATAAAAATACTTGCAATCAAGCTGCATATAGGATCAGGGATATGTCATGCTAGGCATCTTAACGTTAATACTAGCGCTAACCTTCCAGTAAGGACTATGAACGTAGAACCTTCAAAATCCACTCAAAGCCCTTAAGTATTTGATGCTTGCTTGCATAGGCAGCCCTTTCTCCTGGAGAAGAAGCAACATAAACATTGCGAGACTCCATCTCCAAAGTTCTGTCGCAACAACTTTAATCATCCAACTGAGTCAAAACTAATTCAGCCGGAATAATAAGCAACTAGGGAAGTTTTCATCTTTTCCCTCTTACAGGAACTGCGCAGAAAATTGACTTTGGGCGTCCCGCCTCTATATTCCACATGAACGCTCGTTTCTTCTCACCGACTTTTCTCCTTCACACCCGACTTTAACTCGCGTGCGTGCGTGTTACCTTCCTCAAAGTTACCAGCAACTCTGCTCCATCGCGCCTCGTTGGGGTTCCTCCAGTCCAGAATCACCCCCGAGAAGATTAGGTTGATCCGGGTCGCGTGTACTTTGCTTGTCCACTTCTACACTGAGCAGCGGCGAGAACCGTCGGAGGCACAAGTGGGGGGGCAAAGGCCCCCCAGTATGGCGAAGTACACCGAGAGCCGCCCTCACTCCGCCAGCTCTTTTTTAAAGACACAGCGACCGACGATGGTCCTCAGGCCCCTCAAACTTCAGGTCCCGCCCTCTAGAACTGCGAAGAAGTCCAAACCGGCGGAGAACAGCAAGAGCGCCTCTCACCTAAGGGACTACGAGCTCCATAGTGCTCTGCGATTCATATTTGCATGGGGGGGTGGTCCAAAGGGGGGAGGAGGAATGAAAGGAGCTGTTCCCGCCCCACTGTTGCACGATGGGAATCGTAGTTCCAAAGCTAACGGGTGGCAGAAGCAGTTTGGCGAGCTCCTTACGGGATAGTAATCTCGCAAAGCGGGAGGAGGCGGGGCAACTCGACCTCCTTTCGGGGACCGCCATCTTGTAGTCCAGCGTGACCGCCTCCTCTATCCCTACCCCTCCCATGTTGCCTCACTCCGTCCGGTGCTCCGAGAGAGGGAGCCGGGGAGGCTCTTGCGGTAAGAGCGGCCGCTGCAGCGCGTAGCTTGAATGAAGTGAGGTGGAAGCGCCCAGGTCGAAAAAAAGTCAAACCCGGGAAGCGGTAAGGAGCAAGGGACGGGAGCCGAGATCATGGCTCCGCATTTTCCCTGGTTTTATGCACCCGCCTATTGCTGTCTTCTGTCCTCTTTTTCTTCCATCTGTACAGTCGGTTCCCTCGTCCCTTTCCCCCAATTCTATGTTAGATGGATATACCTTAAGAAGAAGCACTGACTGGACCAAGAATTTAGTACTGTGATGGGTCTTTCAGCATTTTATCTGGACTCCAAAAACGACCGCGAGATGCTTTCCTTCCAAAAGATTAGAAAATCTGACCTGTATCCATTATTAGGGCTGGAGAGTGTCGAGCATGACAACGATTGCATTCTCATACTCTTCCCTCCTTCCCTTCCTCCAGTATTGCCAGATCCTCGCCTCCTTTTTGCAAAAGGTCTCCTGATTCCCCCCCCCCCCCCGCCTCTTCTATTTCACCTGCAAGGCTATTCCATCTCTTGAACAGGCTCTTCTCTTTCTTCTTGTAGCCGTAACAAAAAATGTTCAAAGGCGAAGGGGGAAGAGGAATGATTCTTTTTAAAGAATCAAAAGCGAAGTTGGAAAAAGAGGTGGCTGTTCCGTGCGCAACTGCGGTTTGCACATTTTGTATGAGTGCCTCATATAAATCCAAGCACGAAGCAGCTGCTGATGTTGATATTTTTTGTCATTGACGTCTTGCCTAGGACAGTCGAGATTACTCCGTGCCTGTTTCTCCCTCCCACCGTTCTTTAAGGAAATTATAACAATCGGCTCTTTCTGTTTTTCGGGATTAGCTCGCTTGAATCAGTAGTCAAGAAATAAAGAGAAATCATTATGAGCTCAGAAGCTGGTACCGTTGCCTATTGGGATGGGCAGTCAAAGAGGGTAGCCATGTCTGTGGATTACTATAATCAGATTGATTTTAAGTATCAGCAAGGCACTTATTAAAACATATGTACTGAGTGTTTAGTTTTATAACCACTCCTCACTGCAGTCTCTTGGCATTTAATAGTAGACATATTTTGTTCAACAATTCAATGAATTACAATACAAATACATATAGTTACCATAATATAAACTTAGAAGTATAAAATAAAAGTAAAGATTAAGTGAGTGATGTTAATTCATCTTTCAAAGACTACAAAAATGAAAGCTAAAACGGGCCAATCTGAATTCTAGTGGAAGTCAATCTACTAACAATAATAAAAATATTTTTAAAAAATAGATAAGTAAATAAAAACAAAAATGTTGGTGGACCACTAGGTCTTTTTCTGTTGTCAGTTTTCTATGTTTCTAATGACAGTCTTCAATGATAGTTTGTGCCTGGTTTTGCATAAGGCGACTGTACAATGTGGTTTATTTGTTTTTGAGGTAGTATGACATGCAAATCCATCCCAAGAAATAATCCATAGGTTACAAATTATAGAAGTTAATTCATATACTACACAACACCAAAACCAACTACTTTATGACCTAATATTATATGTGAATCAAACAATTATAACAAAGCGCTAAATTTTTCATTTGAAAATTAGCATTAGATTAGACTAAAGATGGACTTTCTGAAAAGTCAGTTAAAGCAGGGGTCTCCAACCTTTTGAACCTCAGGGACCACCGAATTCATAATTTTAGATCCCGCGGACCATGAATATGAATCCAGCATCCTGCTTGCTGAAGTGCCTGGACTCCCACTGATGAGATGGGGTCCTTCAAGCACTTAGCTGCTTGTTTCTGCAACCTTAAATACTTAAATACAAAACACTGGGGTCTCTCCTCCCTCTCTCCCTCCCTCCCTCCTTCTCTCTTTCTCTTTCTGTGCCTTGTCTCTCTCATTCTCGGTCTCTCTTTGTGTCTTGTCTCTCTCTTTCTGTCTCTCTCTCTCTCTCTCTCTCTTCCCCCCTTCCCTCTGTCCCCAGGGGTGGGGAGAAAGGAATCTCTGAACTGGTGCTGGATGATGAGAATCTGATGCTCGGAGGCCAATGAGCCTCGTGCTGAAGACCAGATGGGCAATCCTGCAGTCTCCCTAGCAAATCCGTGTCGTGGCTGCTGCCTCCTGCCTCTGTACATTGAGGAGGCGGAGCAGCAGCGGGAAGAGCACAGACCTCCTGAGCCGCAGAAGTGGCTGTCAACAATGCCCTCAGGTGAAGATGTTGCGAGTGGGAGGCTCGACCCCTCCCCTCAGGAGCCGCAAAGTACTTGCCGCCCCTCTGGCACCCGCTAAGCCTCCTTCCCGCTGGGCATGTGTGCGCTTCTGGTGAGGAGGAAGAGAAGCATGGTGGGAGGAGGCTTGGGAGCTGCCAGAAGGGCAGCAAGTGCTTTGCGGCTCCTGAGGGAAGCGGGGCAGGAGATCGTGCCCTCCCTTTGCAGGCCAGGGAACACCTGGGAAGGGCTCCGATGCCACAATCTCCTGCGCACCTGCCTCCCTTTCCACGCACATCAGTCCATCCACCGCCAGTATCACACCTGTTGCAGACGCAGGTGCGCTGCAGACCAGCAAAATTTTCTCACAGACCATGGTTGGCGACCTCTGAATTAAAGCAGATGTTACTCAATGTCATTCAGGTGGAGCAAACTTCTTCCATTGTAAAATTGGTATAAGAAAGCAAATATGGGTAATATCTGTAAGAAGAGTAAGACTGGCAAGGATTTACAGGTATTTAATTTGCAACCACATTTGAGCCCAAAATTTATCTTGTTAAGCAAGACAGTTAAGTGAATTTTGCCTCATTTTATGATATTTCTTGCCATAGTTGTTAAGTGAATCACTGCAGTTGTTAAGCTGATAATGATTGTTAAGTGAATTTGGCTTCCCCATTGACTTTGCATGTAAGGAGGTCACAAAGGTAGTCACATGACCTCCGGACATTGAAATAATCATAAATATAAGTTTCCAAGTGTCTGAATTTTGATCACATGATCATGGGGATGCTGGAACAGTTGTAAGGGTGAAAACAGTCATAAGTCACTTTTTAAGTGATATTGTAACTTCAAACAGTTACTAAATGAACTGCTGTAAGTCAAGGACTACTTGTATTGCCCTTCTGAAATGCCAGCATGTAGATGTCTGTGGGCAAGAAATTCCAGTTGTCTCTTGAAAAAGCATCTTTAGGACATCCTGCCTGTGGAATTAGGGCTACAAAATTCTGGATGACCACTAAACAGCAGCAGGGAGGTATAAAAAGTCCTTAACTCTTTATTGCAATTTAGTGGCACTATCCTGAGTGGTGTGTGTCAGGCTTACCACTGCTGAAAAAGTGTCACTGGTTTTCTTGAAACTTTTGGTAGAAAGCGTTCGTTTTATATTCTAACATTTATATTATACTGCTTATATGCCAAATTTTGCTGTTTAACCTTGGCTGTTCAAGTCCAGTCTTTAAAAAAAAGATGAATGTATCTTTTCTTTTATGTATACTGAGAGCATTTGCACCAAGACAAATTCCTTGTGTGTCCGATCACACTTGGCCAATAAAGAATTCTAATTCTAAAAAAAAATTCTGAATACTGATAGTGTCAGTTGTTCTCTCTTCCTCTCTATCTCTACACACACACTAAATTTCAAATCTCTGTTATGCTTTGCAATAGTACAGTATAATACAGTATAGCAGGGGTCCCCAACCACCGGGCCGCGGCCCGGTACTGGTCCGTGGATCATTTGGTACAGGGCCGCAAAGAAAATAAAAATAAAATAAAAATGGCGGCTTTCTTCACCTTCGGTGAATGCTGCTGGGATCAGGGATCAAGGACACAAATGAAAGAAGGGGAGGGAGGAAGCAACCAAAGCCTGTCCTGCTCTCCGGCTCAGCGGCTTCGGTTTCCTCCCGCCTCGTTCCTCTCTCAGTCGCTCTCTCGCTCCTCCACCAGCCCAGGAAGAAACTGCTTCAAAGAAGCTGTCAGGGTGGCTTTTCCTGTCGGCGCAGCTCCTCCGAAGTGCCCGTTCACCCCCACCCCGCCACCCGCGGTTCAATCCAGTGCTCCGTTCTGCCTGCCTGCCTGCCTTCGTTTCTGGTTTTTTTGGAGTAGCTTTGGCTGAGAATAACAACTATTTGCCTCTTTTACTCAGCCGAAGCTGCTCCGAAACAACCAGAAACGAAGGCAGGCAGGCAGAACGGAGCACTGGATTGAACCGCGGGCGGCGGGGTGGGGGTGAACGGGCGCTTCGGAGGAGTTGCGCCAACAGGAAAAGCCACCCTGCCGGCTTCTTCAAAGCAGTTTCTTCCTGGGCTGGTGGAGGAGCGAGAGAGCGACTGAGAGAGGAACGAGGCAGACACCTGAGGGATAAGGCTGAGGAAGGGAGGGAGGGAGGGAGACACCTGAGGGATGAGGCTGAAGGAGGCAGGGCTGAGAGGCGGGGCTTGTCCTGAGCCTCCCTGAACTTGGTGGTTTGCTGGCAGACGTTTTATTACCTGACTAGGTAACAACATCAGATGTTATCTAGTCAGGTAATGAAGCATCTGCAAGCAAACCACCAAACTCGGACTCCTCCCCCTCTCCCCCTCCTTGAAAAAGTGTCGTCGTCCCCCGCCGGTCCTTGAAAAAGTGTTTCTGCGTGAAACTGGTCCCTGGTACAAAAAAGGTTGGGGACCACTGCAGTATAGTATAGGCAAAAAAACCTTTGTGCTTAGTGTCTCATTTATCCTTGAAGATTGGTATATTGTTGAATAATATCCCTTATTAATAATATCCCTTACGGTATATCTTCTTGTTCTCAAAAATATTAACCATATAGCTTGGGGTAAAGGGTTCTCTTGATTAAGGTCAAGATGCAAGCCTGAACAAGATGCCTAATATATTGCTAGGCATATTATTCATAATGTAACATTTAAATAATGTCTAATGTAATAGGACCAGTTATTCCAAAGCTATTTTATACAAATCACTTGGAGTAACCTAAGTGCAAGCAATAAACCATTGTTTCTTTTTGGGAAAAGAATTACATCTGTTGTGAATATACAGACACTTAAAGTGTAAGACATAATAGTGCTATAATTATGCCACTATTAACAAAATAGTACTAGTGAATATACCCATATC